ACAAGCAAATATAGCCATCGAATCATTTCCCGATCATAGAAAATTTCAACTCTTTCAATGAGTTATCTCCACAACAGAAATAATGGCATAAAGCTCTCCATAGAAGGATGTTTGGTGACCAAGACAACAAGCAAAGCAACCCAAAAAGTTCCCTTTATAATTGCGAAAATTTGATAGATGATAAGAGAGCTCGATTGTGTCATATTTATTGTTCAATATGTTGTGTAGCGTTGATATTTTAGAATTTTCTAAATAAAGATGATAGAGATTGAACAGCAAATCCACATGGCATCAATTATCTAATTAATACCCCCCTCTTATAAATCAGTAGGTTTAAGCATGCTTAGTTGGTGTAGGACTCCAACACTCCTCCTCACAATCAAGTCCATATGTTTGATTCTGTCTGTTGATTGAGGTAGTTGCTGATTCTAACTCATCACCTGTTGGTCAAACACTCAGCTCAACTAAGCCTACCTCTGATACCATGATAAAATTTGAGGTGGGTCTAACTCCTTACCCAATAAGGCCTTATTAAATAGAAAGATTACCCCCTCTTATAAACCAGTATGCTTGAGTATGCCCAGTTGGTGTGGGACTCCAACACCTTAAGTAAATAAAGGCCTTTATCAGAAAATTTGGTCTATAAATTCAAAGCTCTGACAATGTTTATTAGTAGTTAAAATTCAAAGGGCTTGAAGTTGAAGATGAAGAAGATTATGTTCATTCTCTTGTGTGTTTATGCTTCTTTGTTATGCGTTCAGTTGAGAGAATCCTATTTTTGTTCCTTTCGATTATCTCCTAATAACAAATATAAAAATAACATTATTTCCACTCTTTGGATTTTTTTTATTTTAAATTTTACATTAAAAAGTAAAATAAATTGTTGACTTCAATTTTTGATTAAAATGAGAGAGGCATTATTAATACTACAGAAGTTGATGTTAAGAAGTCAAAATGTGGGAAGCATTTTTTGTTATGTATACATGTTCATAAATATCTTAATTATAAAGAATTTACATTAGTAATGTTTGCTGGTTCTAGTTATAACTTCTGAATAAAGATGACAAAATCCAGTTCATTGTATCCTTATAAAGTAGTAAATTATCTGTTGTATGACTTGTTGGAACCAACAAAGTCAATATGTGCTGCACTTTGATGGCATCAGTTACTTAAACCAACGCCAAATATAGAGGCCTTCATCAAAAGATTTGGCCAATAAATTCAGAGCTTTGATCATCATGCAATGTAGTTTGTGCTTGAAGTTGAAGATGAAGAAGAATTTTGCTTATCTCCTTGTGTTTCTGATGCTGGCTTCGTCTTTAGGTCTTCTCTCTTTCCCTACATATCCTGGTTGAATATAGTCTGAGTTTAATTATATGAATCATATACAACAAAACTAGATTTAAAACCCCGAAAAAGATTTTTCTACACAGTGCATCTCTCATGATTGATTGAGCATCATGCATTAAGTGTGGGTACGAGTTGTGTTTTTTTCTTTTTTAATAGACATTTTGTCTCCATGAGTTATGTTAATGTCACGCTAAACACGTTACAAATAAATTATTGAATCGTATACTTGGTGCTACAATATCAAATTGAGAACTTTATCGATATGTTTCAGGCTCACTTTTTTTTATATTTATTAGGAATTAAAAAGGTAAATTTGGAAATTGATGTATCTGATACTAGCATTAACTCGAACTTATTTCCCCTATTGTGTTTAGGTTGTGTAGTTGTTATTAGAATGATATGAAGTGATGATTTTAATGTTAATAAATGTGGATTTTGAGTTAATTTTTTGGTGGTTTTGATGCATTTTAGGTCGTGGGTTGAGCCATAAAGCTCAGGAATGGTCTTCAGAATAGAGTAAGATGCATAGATAATTTTGACATAGGGTGGAAGCAAGAATATTGCACTCTTGAATTCTGCAAAAAGGTTGTGAATCTAAGTAAAAATCTCTCCTTATTGATCAAACATGTATGGGTTCTACATCTTGTCAATGCACTTACAACCGCACCAGTTAAATTATTATGAATTTGGAACAATTCATTAACATGAAACTTGTAAACGAAAAACATAAAATTTGTAATATACCTTTTTATATGATTGTATCATACCTACAGTTAGAATTTATGGCGTTATGTAAGCGACTTATGATGAATTTATAAATTAAGCTGACATGAAAAACTACTTGTTGAATTTTGGATGTTCTTTTTTATATAAATTTATCCATTTTTGAATGATTTTGTGAGTTGGGATTTATAGTACCTTTTTTTTTTTCTAATATATGAATTTTTTCTTTTATGTTGAGGATGATTGAAATAAACAAAAATACTACTCCCTCTGTTTCTATATAATTATCATTTTAAGCATTTGCACTCTTTTTAATGAATCAATTTTATCTCTCCTCAAATTAACTTTTTCCTCTGATATTGTAGGTGGGCAAATTTTGTTTTTCCCGCTACACACGTGTTAAATATTGAAATAATTGAATAGAGAGGAGATAGGGGAAGAGATAGAAAAAGAGAGAGAGAGAGAAGATGTGGGCATAGAAAAAAGTGGAGAGAGGAGATGAGGGGCAGAGTAGAGAAATGAGATGTGGGTCAGAGAAACGTTGAAAAAGAAAAGACAGCGTCATTTATTTTGAAAAAAAATAATACTCTCAAAATGACAATTATAAAGAAACAAAAAGAGTATTTCTTTAGAAAATACTCTTTATAGGTATGATGAGTGAGATAATTAAAAGATGTATTCATTCTTTCTCTGCTTGAATCCATTGGAATGGAGGCAATATATATGTTAATTTTTTCGATACTCTCAAGTCTCAAGAAGATACTTATCTTATTCATATAAATGAGGGGGAGAATATTTACACACAATAATAATATGTTCGCTTATATTAAGATTGAGGTAATTTGTAAGATAAAAATGTTAAGAATTAATTCATTCGTAGTTAGGAACACATTGACATTAATTTGATGGGATGATAAACTCAACTCATGATTTAATTGATATCTTAATCCTGATTATCTGTTGTATTAGAAGGGTGAGTATAAATTATGTCTATAAAATTAATTCAAAAATTAAATCACAAAATTTGATGACACACGTGTATATAAACCCACAAAAATAATATTACTCCATCAAAAATATTTTACACAAACAATTGTAATGGCAGCCACAACACAAATCACCGGCTGTGACACTGGTCCGCCGCCGTCGGTGACACTATTCTGGCAGTGGCCACAAGGCAATCCATTATAGCTTCTCTATCACTCAAGTTTAATTGAGTGACATAGTCGTTCCTGTTTTAAGTTCACAACATTAATTTGCGTGTTTTTTTTTTTTTTTTTTTTTTTTTTTTTTTTTTTTGTTTTTTTTTTTTTTTTTTTTTTTTTGTTATTAGTTTTTGTTATGAGTAATTTGTAAACTATTTTGGCATTTGGTTTTGACACTTTATTATTTTTGAGATAAAAAATGTTTGGCTGGAATGGATATAAATACTGCTGTTGCGTTGAGTTATGTGTTTTTTTGGGATTTGTATGTTGCAAGGGTGGTAATGTTACCTCCCATTTTCAGCCATTGGTTTGTTTTCCGGAAAGTGATGGGGGAAATTCAATGGCTGATATGGGGGGGGATAATGTTGGAAAATGATAGAGTTATCGAAAAGTTTATACCGAATTTGTGCATTGAATGACGTGACAAAATCCTGACCATTGATTAATATTAACTGACAATAAATTAATGATCAGGATTTTGTCACGTCATTCGGTGTATACCCGTCGGTAACTGTAGCATTACTCGAGTAATGTTACTCTCCAAGTGTTTTGGTGACCTTGGATGGTTTTAGAAACAAACCGTGAAATCTTGCATTATTCATGAAAAGAGTTAATGAACTCTTTTTACACACAGCGGAATGGGTTTTAACATGTGTTAATGCTTTTAGGAGTTAATCAACAAACCATTAGACAAATTAATCAACATGAGCAGAAAAATAAAGCACATCGGAAATTTTTACATGGTTTGGCTAAAAAACTATTTTAGCCTACATCATGGGACCAAATCCAGATCAAGTAAATCCATTATAACAAACAAGTTACAAGCAAATCCAAAGTTGAAATTAAGTACAACAAAGTAAAACACTCCCTGCTCTACAAAAGACTCTTTAACTCCACCCTCTGCCACAGTCTACTTGAGTCCAAGAATCCACTTGGACAACTCAAGCTCCTCACAAGCTTAAATGGCCGAAGTCTTCCTTCAACTCAACAGCTTGAACTACCTTCTAGCTTTCAACAAAGGAACCACGTTACAACACTCAAAAGTTAAGCAAAGTGATCGATAATAAACTCAACAATAAAAAGTATCTGAACGAGAATATACTTTGTAAAATTCAGAGCTCAATGAACCTGCAAATGTCCAGGTTAGAGATGCAAGGAAGAGGATAACACAATTTATATCCTTGCAAGATTCAATCTTTACAGTACACGTAGAGAGACTTTTTGATAAACTTTCATGAACCACTCTGAAGAGAGAGTGACACTTGTAAAGTGTCTTATCACGCAAGTCTCATGAAAACAATACTTGTGAAAAGAGATTAAAAGAATGTTAACACATAAACAGAAATGTGCCCACATGTTTGTTCAACACGATCATATGAACAAGGCAATGTATACACATACAACAATATGTTATAACATGTGCAAACAATCATAGAAACACTCGACCAAGCAAACCGCATACATTAATAATAACGTATACAAATATTTCATAAGTTGACAAGCAACACTTACAATTCAGATGGTTTTCAAGCTTAAATGTTGTGTTATTAGAGAGAATTATTTATAGTAGTATATAGAACATGTTTTCTTTGATTTTGGTGCATTTTTGTATGATTGATTCCTTTAAAATATATGTCATCTTGTATAAAATGAAACATCATTTGGATATGACTCTCATGTATGTGGAGGTGGTAATGATTGAGCACAGGTTGGCTTCAAGACATGGATATCTCAGATGAGGAGGAGGAGGAGGAGGAGGAGGAGTTTTGCCAACTTGTGCGTATGTTTGATGACGATGATAATGATGACGGCGGTGATGATGAGGAGGGGGAGGAGGAGAAGGAGTTTTCCCTACTTGTGCGTATGTTTGATGACAATGAGGAGGAGGAGGAGGAGGAGGATAAGTTGTTTTACAAACTTGTGTGTGTTACTGCAGGTTTAATAGTGTATTATTGTAAGACATATATTCATGAAGAACCTCCTAGGAATTCTGTTAAAGTAAGGTAATATGTGGTTGATGGAAGCATTGCAAGGGGATGAAAGTTGATGTCATGATGCATTTCGAATGAGAAAGGACGTATTCATTAGATTATGCAATGATTCGGAGACTAATTATGGGTTAAAGGCTTCCGGGAGAGTTAGTGCGGCTGATATTTTAGGAATGTTCTTGCACATTTTAGGACATGGTAAAGGAAACTTAGCATGTAAGTGGCGAGACTATGAATAGGTTTTTCTACCAAGTATTGGATATTGTATGTCACCTAGCCATTGGATCCTGATTTTGCTAACATCCCCAAAGAGATATCTAGAGATGCTAGATATATGCCTCATTTTAAGATAATTTATATTGATGGTATACATGTTTTTAAAACACATGATGATTTGAAATGACGTATTCATATATATGTTCTTGTATTATTTTCAGGATTGTATTGGTGACATAGGTGGCATTCATATTCCTGCTTTTGTATCTGTTGAAGATGAACTCAGATTTACTGGCAAAAATTGAATGCCACTCAAAACGTGATGGCGGCATACAGTTCACGTTTGCAGTTGCTGGTTGGGAAGGCAGTGTCACTGATGCTAAAAATATTCTTGACCTGATGCAAATTTTCCAGAGCCTCCCAGAGGTCGCATTCTTAGTGAAACTTAAAACATTTCTTATCTGATTATTATCTATTCAAAATGCATTCGAATCAAGCATATCTTTGATTTAACAGGAAAGTATTATCTAGTAGATGCAGCATATACTCAAATGAGAGGGTACTTGGTGTAAGATATCACAATCTTCCAGATTTTTGTCAGGGTATTAAAAAAATGGGTCATAAAGAAGTGTTCAATCAGGCGTATTCTTCTTTTAGAAGTGTCATCAAGCCAAGGTGGAGGATTTTAGACGATATGTCAAACCATTCATTCAAGAAGCAAACAAATATAGTTATTGCCGACCATGGCGA